TTAAGGGTCCTTAAGGGTTAACTCGTGAAAGTAGAACTCTTTAACGGAAAATTTCGTCCGTTTTGCTCCACATTGTACCATTTGGGTGCTAGAGGGCATTTCTTGACAAATATAAGGTGAAAACGACTAAAAGTGATCCATTAAGTCGTAAAAAGGGCCTTTGGTTGCAACATTGTGCAGGAAGTAATACTAAAACCACACAGTTGACGTCGAACCACACCCTCCTTTAGGCTCAAGGGTCCCTAGATTATCTAGTATCACTAAGACGTCCATTTTTACATAACAATCTATCAAAATTCGAACTTTTAATCGAACAGTAGAAGTTTTATTTCCCTAATTTTAGAGTAAAAATTCCCCGGCAAATACTGTATGTCAAATTTTGGATCCGGAAGGCTCTGTTCCCGAATACCCTCCCACTGACTCCTCTCGGGTGTCAGCGCCGCAGGCCTAGCTATGTGTGCGCCAGGCGCGTCGCAGCGTAACAGTGTTTCGTGAGATATCGCGAAGCCTGTTACGCGAGACGTGGTCTGGCGTACATATAGCTAGTTTGTGGTGTCCTTACGGGTAACTCATCAAAGTAGAGCCCTCCGCCTGACTGGACGACCTAGAGGAAGGTGTCGGGGAGGTGCGCGGGGGCACGGGGCACCTCGGCGTCGTCAGAGGAGATCACGCCTTCAGAGGAGATCACGCCTGCTCGGGCAAAGGCGAGGCACGTCGCGCGTCGCGGCGGTTTCCGGATCACAAAATCCCTCCCTCCCTCTTCTAACAGGATTACACGATTACGCGGGTTACACGTGAATTTTGAGGGATTACAAATAAATTCAACAACATTAATTTGTAATCCCTCAAAATTCACGTGTAACCCGCGTAATCGTGTAATCCTGTGTACATCCTAAATCGAAGTGGTGGCCCCCTCGATTATCTGCACCCATATTGCTGGGGAAATCGCTCCTGCACCGCCCCTCCTTCTCCTGTTGTGGCTGCTAGGCAACCCGGGCCCCTGGCTGGCAGCCGCTCAGTGCGCCTAAACAACTCGCCAGAGACGGACGGTTACAGGAATGTGTTGAAGCTTTTGAAGCAAATACGCAGGATGTGTGAGTACTCTGCCTTAATACGCTGAGGGTGAGAGACTGGAGTGGCCCTGATTCGTGGAGAGCTTTCCGCCGCTTGGTTGCGCCGTTGTGCGTGGTGGAGTCTCTACCAATCAGGACCGTTTACGCTGATCAGCTGTTATCGTTCTTAATCTGTTTAATGTAGTGACCAGGACCTCAACCCCACCGCCGGCGGACGGGCCCGCGCTAGTCGCTGCTGCCGCTGCAGCAGTAGACGATGAGGCCGCCGGGCCCGCCGCCGGTGAGCCTGATGGACCGGCCGCCCCTGCCGCCCTCGCCGCCGATCTTGCTCTTGCTGACGATCTTGCTCTTGCTGCCGTTCTCGCCGCTCCCATGGACGCGGCCCCCGCCAATCTTACTCTTGCTGCCCATGCCGCCAGGCCGCTCCCGCAGCCCCTGCCGCCCTCAGTGTTCAGCAGGTTGTGCAGCTGTCTCCGGTGAGTGGGTCCCCCTGTCTTACACTGTAAATCCAGGGTGTCCATCAGCTGTGCGACCTAAGGTGCCTGGCGAGGAGGCTCCCCTCGAACCGCCGCTCCTCCGCGCGCCCGCCCCCACCAGCGCTCTCTGTGTCCGCTTTTGTTCTTCTTAGTTCCGGGCAGCGCTCCATTGAAATACCCTATTGAGCTAGCAACCTGGGATTTTCAGGGTCGTTTTGTCGCATAAAAAGACAGATCGAGTTCGAAGAAGAGCATTCTAGCTCAAAAATTGGATTTAAAAAAAAAATCAAAAACCACAGGTCCCTCAAAGAATGTTTTAATTTTTAGCAGATGATACATTTGTAACTGAAACTTTACACAACTGTAAATAATAGGAATGATATGTCAAATGTGTCATTGCTTGTACTCTCATGCAGCACCGTGCAGAGCGAGGCAGAAAGCGTGACGTCACCAGTAGAAGATAGACGGGGGGCCGCTGGTCGGTGGCCCGCCCGTGCCACAACCGTCAGCTCCGCCGCAGCGTCAGCCCCCCTCCCCCTCCCTTCTACCTCCCTCCCGCCCGGCTCGGCTCGGCTCGGCTCTGCCGGCGCTCGGCTGGGAGCGCAGCGCAGCTACGAACCTGGTCCGGCTCGGCCGCCCGGCCCTGACGCTATGCTATTCTACACGCTGAAGGAGATTAAAACGCCAATGGAAAACTTGCATGATATAAATAACGGTATAGATAGCAACAACATTCTGTAAATGTGGGTGTTAGATCTTTGAAACCTCCACATTCTGTACTGAAATAATATAATGCAAGGCTTGATCATTACATACGTATCATCTGCTTCCACGATCCGTGCTTTGACGGAACTTTTTTTTTTTTCAGTTTCCTATAGGGTAACTCATCAAAGTAGAGCTTTCTAGGCGAAAATTTCGTCCGTTTGGCTCTATCGTTAACCATTTAGGCGCCACAGGGAGTTTTTGACGAAAACAAGCGAAAAAATATACAACCCTGCATGCTTAGTCGAAGTGACGGGAAGTTGATGGGCCGGAGGCCCGTATCTTTGTGTACATTTTTACGCTACCCGACTTAAGTGTCAGCGTCGCAGGCCTAGGTAGATGTATGCCAGGCGCGTTGCAGCGTAACAGTGTTTCGTGGGTTATCGCGAAGCCTGTTACGCGAGACGTGGTCTGGCGTACATCTACCCGTTTTTAGCAGATGATACCTTAAGAACCTTTTGACTAAACGCAAAGAATATAAAATAAATTTAAGGTGTCAGCTAGCTTTTACTCTCGAGACGGCAAGAGAATCAAGCGGAGACCAGAAAACAATTTCTTAAGCGCTGGGGGAACCGTGTCCGGGTGCCTGAGTGAGTGTCGCTTCAGGCCCCTACCCTTACCCTGCTTAACAATAGTAGGCTCCCCGTCCCCCTCCCTGCACAACAATACTATCCGACGCCGGCCTGCGCCGGCCCCTGTGCCCGCGCTCGACGGAAACCAGGCGTGGAGGACGCCGATGCACCACGCCAGGCGCAGCAAGGGGCACGCGCAGCCGGTGAAAAGCCTGTGTCCCGGTGCAGGGTGAGGGCGCAAAGCCGTTTGCGTACGAGCAGTCAGGCAAGGACGGCGGTAGCCCATCATCATGACCAGGACGTCGTGTGGGAGCTGAGTACCAGGGTAACACCTTTAAGGCCTCCAACGGGTCGTCGTTCTCTCCGACACTGGGGGGCAATGAAGGCGCGGATCTATTGGGACACCATCCCCGGTCCGCAGGAGGGCGTGGTGGGGAGGATCAAATGAGACAGTATGTCCCAGCAGATCCCGCCGGCCCAGAGGTCTTTATCATTCCCACCCTGACCCTCGCCATGGACGGACGTAACATGGAGGAGCTCCCTGACGAAATTTTAAGAATGATACTGCGAGGTCTTGGACCTGCCGAATGGGTAGCCTTGGCCGGGACGTCTCAGAGGCTGAGGTCCCTAGTGATTGACCCACTCCTATGGACAAACATCGCCATAAACATTTTGAAGGCACCATGGTTTAAGCGAGTGTGTCAGTTTGCCACCGCCAAAGTAGGTGTCCACGTCTGGATTTTGCCAATATGGGACGAGCAGAAATTCAAGAGGGACAATCCACTTTTGACTCTCTACCCCAAATAAATTGACGGCTCCTCCCACCTGACCACCCTCCCTCCAGTGGTGGGCACACACTGACCGCTTTTGAAAAAAAAGTGCCCAAAAACATTTTTACCGGAGTGACGCAAACACGCCGTAAAAGAAAAAAATTGCAGTCACACCCCCGCCCTTGGTGAGACATAGGACACGGCAAGGGGAAGAGACCTCTGGGCCGGCGGGATCTGCTGGGACATACTGTCTTATTTGATCCTCCCCACCACGCCCTCCTGCGGACCGGGGATGGTGTCCCAATAGATCCGCGCCTTCATTGCCCCCCAGTTTCGCGTCCGTCTGTTTGTCTGTCGTCACGATAACTCGAGAACGAGAACGGTATTCTAATGGAGCGCTGCCCGGAACTAAGAAGAACAAAACCGGATGCAGAGAGCGGTGGTAGGAGCGGGCGCGCAGAGGAGCGGTTGGTGAAAGGTAGCCTCCGCGCGCCCGCCCCCACCACCGCTCTCTGCATCCGCTTTTGTTCTTCTTAGTTCCGGGCAGCGCTCCATTGGAATACCCTATTGCAAAGCACTCATGGTGCCCCCACCCACCCCCTCGCCGACAAGGACGTGTCCTTGTGGACACCAAGACCGTCATAGACTTCTACTAAAACAAGCAGGCCCGCCCTTCCGCCAAACGAAGTTGCCACCTCCGCTTCGCTCCGCCGGCAACTCCGTTCGGCAGGGGCCGGGCCTGCTTGGCCTGCCGGCGGCGATGGTCGGGCCTGCGGCCCGACCATTTCTGTCACGCGATTTGCTGAAGAACATGATCGAATGATATAGAGGGCCTTCGGCCCGCTTAAACCCGTCATCTTTGAGTTTGCCCCAAAGACTTGAAAAGGGGATGTAACGGTGAAGCACCGCGACTACAACCCACCCTTCTGCTTAGAAAACGTTTTTTGGGGGTGGGGG